TCCCGTCTCACCTATTAACGGTTGTCAACCTTTGACTGAATACCCACTAAGTGCCAGCCCACACCCTGCCCATCTCAGATGCTGCCTCCCTTAGAAATGTGTTAGGCCACATGCAACAGAAACCTCTCATGGTGGTGACACAAATAAATGTTTGTGCTCCTCACTCAGCAAGAAGACTTGGTGGAAACTCGAAGAATTGGTGGAAACTCCTTCTCGCCTCACTGTACTCAGCAAAACGATTTTTGATCTTGGGAATACAAGATTGCTGAGGGCTGCAAAAAAGATAAAGGAACGGCACTTGGCTGGGCCCTACCTTTCTGAGAAGTTAGGGCCCTTCTGATGGTGCCCACAGATGTAGCTCACATAGTGCCCAACCTGCTTGGGAGGCTGGGGACTCCTGACTGGAGTCCCCCCAGGTCCTTGAAGTGAGAGGTGAAGGGAATAGAACCGAGTTGAGGAAGGCCTGTCTCCTTTCTCTGTAGTTATTCTAGTCCAATCTTCACCTCCAGAATGTACTTCCTGCCAACTGCTATCTCTCCAGAAAGTCTAGTACAATGCCACCTCTTCCATGCAGCATTCCTAGATGACTTCTCTAGGTTCTCTCCCACCCTGAATCTGTTTGTCTTCTCTCTCGGCTCCTACCTGCCTTGAACACTGTACAGAGCCTGCTGGAAATACAGATTACCTGGAGAACATACACAGCAAAATAAGCAAATGAGTATATGAAAGAGTGGCATGTTCTTCTTTTTCTCAGGCCAGGTTCATGGCTTCCTCCTCCCAGTGTTCTCCCTCAGCCTTTCTTCACTCCATGTCAGCTGCTGGGGAGCATGAGGGAGATGGGGGAGCTCATGTTCCAGGTTGGAGTTTCTCAGGAGCCACCTTTCACTTAGCACTTTGCTGTACAGCATGTTGGCTCTGTCAGGGAGTCTTGCTGGGCCTATTTAGTCATCTGTCAAATGAGAGGCTGTGCTCAAAGTTTCTTTTCAAGCTAAAAAGCTCAACTATAGGCCCTCCTGTTGGCATAGGGGTTAATTCTCAGCACTATCAACGTTATAGCCTGAGTTCCATCCCTGACCAAGGAGCTGACCCACATAGAGCAGCAGACCTCTCCTGTCTCTCCCTCTGCTCCCCTCAGCAGTGGATTTCAGTGGAGCAGCCTGTTCTGCTCCCCACTCTGTCTCCAATGATCTTCTCACCCCACCCCCCACCCCTGGCCTACATTCCAGTTCTCCCATGCATAAATAAATAAATCTTTTTTTAAAACCTCAACCTCAATTATAGGGGAGTTGGCAAGTTAGCAAAAGTGGAGATAGTGGGCTCACTTCCTTCACATACTTACAACCAATTGCACCTAAACCAAGACAATTATCTGCAAGTTCTAACGGTGACTATTAAATCCATCAAGAGGGGGCCCTCCCTGGTGGCACAACAGTTAAAGCACAGCGCTAAGAAGCTGTCCAAGGCCACTGCAGCATGAGTTCTATTCTAGACCTGGATGGTGACACACATGGTGCAGCAGATCTCTCCTACCCCCCCACCCCCCACTACTCCCCTCAGCAACTCCCTTCAGTTGATCTGCTTGTTCTGCTCTCTACTCTGTCTCTGGTGAATCCTCTCATCCTCACACCTCTGCGCTGTACCCCAGCTCTGTAAGCATCAATAAAATCTTTTTTTTAAAAATCCAGCAAGAGAAACAACATGGAGTGAGGTAATTAAACTATATGTGGAACAATACCAGCACAGCACAACCAAAGAGAGGGAGGAGCAGCTGCTACAGGGAGCCCTCTGCTGTTGACTGGAGGGCTCACACCCACATCAGGGACCTTAAAATCTGGGGGCTATGCTGAAGAAGGCAGTGTTCAGAGTCAGCCCACAGGAAGGAGGTGTACCACCAAGAACTGTAGGAGTAAGGGGCAGAGTGGCGACTGTCCATTTGGCATGTGGTTCCCAAATCAGGGACTGAGGGCTAGATCGGAACAGCAGTGTCTCTAGCGATGAGGCTGTTATCTGCATCAGCCACTGAGATACGTGAAACACCTGCCCTACTCCCACCTGGGGCCAAAGTAGAGATAACAGCGAAATGGCACACTGTCATTACCTAGAGTTCAAAGTACCTGGGCCCTCAGAACAGGAACAAGTGCCCCAGGGTAGATCCCAACCTGTAACCCTGTCTCAACCATAATCCCTTTCAGAGCTACATCTATTACTCAACCACAGTTTAGAGGTTGAGGCTGTCACAGATTGTTGAAGGTGTTTTAGGGAGGAGCTGGCCTAGAGGAGGAAGTCATTGGATTGGTAGACTCCCCACCACCCAACTGTATAACCTTAGGGCACCTGAACTCTTGGTGCTCACTGGAGGTGAACTTTTGCTGTCCTACCACCCTAGATCCTATCTACAAGCTCTTGTTGGCACTGACATCCTGGGCATCCAATTAGGTGTAGGGGCTTCATTCAATGAAACACTATATACCTAGAGATCCTGGGTAAAAAATCTAGGATTATATACCCAGCTATAATGATTAACTATACCTTAATCCTTCTAGGGCAGAGAAGGATGCTATGACAACCTATAGTGTTAGATCAGACTTAAGTAAGACAGTGTTCCTGTTCCCTGGCCTGGTGGGGGGTTTCACTTTTATTTGATGGATGTGTTGAATTAGGTATACTCAAAAGGACACAAGTCTCCAACGTCTCCCTCTGTTAAAATTTTCAGAGATTAGACCCATGGAATCACCATCAGATCCAGATCCAGAATGTGTGCAGCCCCTAATGCCCCCTAGGTTCCTCCAGTCATTCACCTCCAAGTCAGAATGCAGAATGGTTTGTCTGGTTTGTATCTTCCTTATTCATGTATTCACAGTGTGTACACTTTTGTGACTGGCTTCTTTCTCTCAACATTAGGTATATTCATGCATGTTGTATATATTAGCAGCTTGTTCTTTTTCATTGTCCTATAATATTCCATGGAAGAAGGTTACCACAATTTATTATCCTGTACATGATGGATGTCTGATTAATTTCCAGGTTGAGATAATTAAGAAAAAATTGCTATGTACATTTCATGCACATTTCACCCAGATAGACACCAGGAATAGAGCTGCCGGCTCTTGGTGCAGATATGTGGTCGGTATAGGTAGAGACTGCAGGGCTGGCTATTTCATTCAGAACTGATATGCATGGACATTCCCATGGCACCCAGCACAGACTCCCTGGACGCATGGGTTGGACCCGGGGCAGTGACCAAAAAGAAGGGACCTCCTAGGGAACCCCACAAGCAGCATTTCTGTAAAGCTTTCAGGTAAGATCTCTATTTCGCTCACCATCAAGTTGAAGATGCCACTGCCAGCTGGGTCCACCCCAGCTGAGTATTGCTCAGACCAGCTTTTCTCTGCCATCTCAATGAATATCACACAAGCCTGCCCCAAAGTGGCCTGGGACTTGGAGTGGACTCACAGCCTGAGGAGAGAAGCTTGGAATACTGTGTTCCAAATGCCAGGTGGCCCTTAGTAAGCAAAGCCTTCTGCCAGCCCTCTGCTATAATCAGTTAGCAGACATGAGTCCTGGCTAAGAGTGATAGGGACAAGAACTGTGCCAACTTCTGCCTTGTGTCTGAGATCCTAGTGTTTCTGAGGGTACCCCTCTACCTACAAGTATTTAAACTTGTAGTAGTATTTAAACTTGTAGTATTTAAAATACCCACATGACCTAACAAGCCCCTCTGGCTTCCCAGTGCCTCCCTGCCCAGAGGGGGCCGGGTGCATGCTAATGCAGGGCCCTGGCTCCAAGGGCCCTTATTTAGTTGCAACGCCCTGTCCTTCCTTTCTTCAGTTATGAATGTAAATGGGTCAGCTCCAGACCTGTCTTGTACAGTGAAGCTGGATGCCATAACCCAGGTGTACCCCAATCTAGAGATCACCACTGCAGGCAGACCCTAATAATGGGTGTGAAGGGGACAACCGAGTGCTAATGAACAGTACAGGCAGGAAGACTTTCCCTAAGTTTTGGTCTGAGCACTTTTTGAAGGGTAAAAAAATAAAAGGGGGAGCAAATGATATTCCAGGCTGAGGGAGCAGCCAGTGTGGGGCACAGCTCGGGAGGACTCGCGGGGTTTACATGTATGTGGTCAGGGGGCAGGCACCGAGGCCCACGCAGGTTATGCATGATTCCAAATACCTGCAGGTCAAATGTCCAATTGAGGCTTTCCCCTGGCAATGCCCCTTTCAGGTTTAAGACACCTCACTATACTTTTGCCGGCCTCCCTCCAACAGTGATCAAGGTGGGAGCTTGCTAGAGGTGGGAGCAGGAAATGAAAAACAGTCAGCCCTACTAAGTGCTTATCCTAGGGGTCACCCTAGAGCAACAAATTGAAAGACTAGCCAGGGGCCACCGGCAGTGATATGGCCCGTTTGAATTGTTTGAATTGTTCTACTCCAAACCGAGTTCTGTTCTTCACCCACCAAACCCACCGCAGGAATCCACAGCCCTGAATCCCCTCCCAATTGCCTAAACAGGCACATTTTCCCCCAAATCCTATTTCCAAGAGTAAAGTCCGGGGATCTGCATTTTAACAGGCACGCCGGGGTGGCCCACGCATATTGGTCACGGGTTGAGACCTCGATCCAGCACCTTCACCCTGCAAACCTCACTGGGCCGGCAGGGGCGGCGGGGACCTGTGGGCGACCTCCGCCTCTTCGGGCTGACGCGCCGGGTCGCGGCGCCCTCTCGCGGCTTCCAGGGGCGGTAGCCTGGCTTCAAGGGGCTGCTCGAGGCTTCAAGCGGGAAGCCCGCGTCCCCCATCCGGGAGTAACTCCCGTCCCGGCGTGGGGCTCAGGGTTCAGGGGTTTGTGTCGGATATGAAGGTCGCCCACGTTCGGGGTCCAGACGTCGCGCCCCCTTGTTCACGTTCCCGCACTCCCCTCTAGCAACCCACAGGAGGGTCCCTCCCGCCCACCCACGCGCGTGACGCTCGTGAGCGCGCACGCATTTGGCGTGCGCAGGCGCCCTGAGGACGCACAGCTGCCATTGCGTCCCTCGCTGCCCAGTTGGGCGATGTGTAAGTAGAAGTCCTCCGGCTCGGAAGGCAGGGTGAGTGCGACGCCACGAGGACAGCGGCCCGGGGCCCCAGGGTTCGCTCACGCAGGACAGGGTGCCCGCCTTAGACTTGCGTGACTAGCACAAGGAACTACACGCCCCAAGATCCACTGCGCCGCGGAGAGGCAGTGACGTAAAGGCCGCTACCATGTCTCAAGTGGGGAGAGGGGAGGCGCGCTGGCGAAGCCTGATGACGCCGCCTTCGTGGGGTTAGTTGGTAACCCGACGTCAGCGTCCATCCGCGGGCGCAGAACACCTTGGGAACCTTCCTTCTTGACCAGTTTAAGTTGATGATTTATTTACCCTGAACTCTAAATGTCTGCTTGCTGTGCGCCTTCTCCCTTTCAACCCCTGGGCAAAGGCCGAGAAAGTCCCCCCTGTCACCATTAATTATTGTTACTATTATTGTTTGGAGGTAATCTTAAACTTACAATTTCAAGAATTTTCTTATAAAGAACTTGATAAGTGTGTTGCAGATATGATGCTTCTGTGACTATATGTACAGATACATCAGTGTTTTTTTTTTCTTTTTTAAGATTCATTTATGCACACAGAACTGGGGTACAGCCCAGAGGTGGGATATGGGGAGAGGATTCACCAGAGGCAGAGTGGGGAGCAGAACAGGCAGATCGATGGAGTACACTGCTGAGGGGAGCAGCGGGCGGGCCAGGAGGTCTGCTGCCCAGGTGGGTCAGCTCCCTGGTGGGGGATGGACCTCGCACTGAAGGGCTGTGGGTCGCTTGCAGCCTTGCCCTTTAACCTGTTTGTGCTACCGGGGAGGGCCCTGTTTTTTCTTTTTTAAAAAGATTTATTTATTTTTGCATGCAGAACTGGAGTACAGGCAGAGGTGCGGGGGTGAGAGGCTTCACCAGAGACAGAGTGGGGAGCAGAACAGGCAGATTGATTAAGTACACAGCTACGGGGAGCAACAGGGGAGACAGGAGAGGTCTGCTGCGCCATGTGGGTCACCTCCCTGTCTGGGAATTGAACTCGTGCTGCAGTGGCTGAGGACAGCTTCCTAGTGCTGAGACTTAACCCCTTGCTCCTCCAGGGAGGGCCCATCAGTGTGTATTTTGTAAAAAACAAAATCCCACATTCAAATTCAAGTAACAATCAAAAATGTCACCTAGCCTATAGTCATGATTTAAATGTTTCCAGTTGTCCTGATAATGTCATTTATTAATTTTTCCATGAATGCCCATTGTTAAAACTATGTTTTTCTTCACCCTGCGTCCAGCTCAGAATCACAGGCTGCTTTCAGGTGTGGTGTCTTTTTAGTTTCTTTCAGTCTGGAGCAGCTTCCCACTTCCTTTGACAGTCATGGCATTGTGACACTTTTGAATTGTCCAGGCCAGTTGTTTGGTAAAATTGGGTTTGGTTAGTTGAGATTTCCTCACCCAGACTGTCAGGAGCAGAGGTGGTGCCAACCAAATGTCTTTACTGAGAGAGTGGGGTTGTAGCAGCCAGGCCCATGCCTGCAGCCCCTGCAGGGCCAGACCCTGGCTGGGGTTGCCTTCCCTACCGGGGTCTCAAGCGCTCACGGAGGTCTCTGGCTTCCCTGTAGCAACCAGACTGGAGCCATGGTCCACGCCTTCCTCATTCACACCTTACGGCCCCCGCACACTGACACAGGCTTTTGTCGAGTGCTCTACTCCTGCACCTTTGGATCTGAGAGTTCACCTGATGACCCACGGCCACATGGTGCTGAGAGAAACAGGCTTCTTCGCAAGGAGCAGATTTTGGCGGTGGCCAGGTAACTTGGTGCAGCCCATTCCCCATTGGCCATTAAACACATGCTGATTGTGAGGGAATATAGAAAAACAGAACTAAGAAGCAAAGAGAAAGTTGTAGAGTCTTAAGAGTCTTTCACAGTTGTTCGTTCACAACTGTTATTTGTAGGATGGCATTGTAGGACAATGCCATCATTGCCACACTTAGAGTTACCATTCGTTGAACCTGGAAATACGTGTGGGCATTTATGTTCTATGCATTTCCTCCTTATGAACTCATTCAGTCCTTTAAGATCAGTACAGTTATTTTCAGGAGGAGTTATTTTCAGTCCTTTAAGATCAGTACAGTTTATAGAGGAGTAAACTGAGGCACAGAGAGTTTAAGGAACTTCACCTACCCAAGGTGATGCAGGTAGGTAGGCAGCGACAGAGCTGGGGTTTGAATGTCGGCAGGTAGGCCCTGTATAGGTGAAATACGCTATTCTATTGTACTGTACTGTATTGGAGCCTTAAGGGGCCCTCCCGGCTTGCCTCCTGAGTCTCTGAGGAGGCAAGACAAGGGAATTTCTTTATGCCTGGAGCCTCTGGAAAGCCTGAGATTTACTGGGTATTCTGGCAGGGGGATTAACACTCTGGAGAAACGTGGTGCCAGTCTCCTGCCATCCTGTTGTTCCTCAGAACTGTCTCCCCTTTCTTTGTCATAGAAAGCTAAACAGTTACCCTTAACACCAGCATATGCAGGGCCAAATTAGAAGGCGATCAGGATGACCAGGAAATGCTTTAAAAAGCCTAGAAGGCCAAGTGGAAGGCCTTTCGTTTTTATTTTGAATGGGTTGAAGAATAGAATGAGGATGCAGAAATTGACCAGCCCAGCTTGGACTTGGCTTTTACTCCACATCTCAGGACTTCCAGAGGCATCTGTGGGGCAGGTGGGAGCAGGATATTCTCCCCCGGTGCCCTTTCCCAGCCGAAGGACCTGTATTCTTGGCCTTACGGAGTGAAGTGGTTTAGGGCCTCGAGCAGGAAGCTAGGTTCCTGACCAGCTCAGGCATCCCCCTCATTGGCCCTGGGCAGCCCACTTTGTCTGGGGCTAGTGTATGAGATATGGCGATATGGCAGCTCTCCATTACAGGGGGACCCGCGAGGATGACAAAAGTTGGTGAACCACCCACTCTCTCCAGGCAGGTGGAGTCCATGTGCCAGCTGCAGCAGCAGGCATCTGGCCGGTCCCCCCTGGACCTGCAGCCCCAGTCCTCAGATGAGCCAGTGCCCCTGCATGAGGCCCCACGCGGGGTGTTCCGCTTGGCAGCAGGAGACCCTTTCCAGGAGCCTCGGACGGTGGTGTGGCTAGGTGTGCTCTCACTAGGTTTCGCCTTGGTGCTGGACGCCCACGAGAACCTGCTCTTGGCCGAGGGCACCCTCCGGCTGCTGACACGTCTCCTCCTTGACCACCTCCGGCTGCTGGCCCCGGGCACCAACCTCCTGCTGCGGGCTGACCGCATCGAGGGCATTCTCACGCGCTTTCTGCCCCACGGTCAGCTGCTCTTCCTCAATGACCAGTTCGTCCAGGATCTGGAGAAGGAATTCAGTGCTGCCTGCCCACGCTGACCGCTGCCTGGGATCCAAGAGGGCAAGCAGGGAGGACGGGGACTAACACAGCAGGCTGACGCGTGGCCCTGCCTGCCCCTCAGTTCTGGGATGCTGCCACACCTGGGACAAAGTTGGCAGAAAAGGGGACCGTGCAGAGGGTGGGGAGGTGGCCACAGGCATCACGAAATACCCTGTGCCTAGAGCTGCCGCATGACCTGGAAAGTGAGGATTCACAGAGACAGAGTGGGGAGCAGAACAGGTGGATTAATTGAAATACACTGCTGAGGGGAGCAGCGGGCAAGACAGGAGAGGTCTGCTGCGCCATGTGGGTCACCCCCCTGGCCGGGGGATCTACCTTGCAGTGCAGTGGCTACTGATAGCTTGATAGTGCTGTATTTAACCTCTGTGCCACCAGGGAGGCCCTTTTTTTTTTTTTTACTTTTTATGGTGAAAGGTGTAAAGTCTGTCTGAATTGACTGTTGCTTGCTTGTTTTTGCACACACACAATGTCCAGTTGTCCCAGCACCATTTGTTGAAAAGACTACTTTGCTCCTTTGCCAATACTTGTCTTTATGTGAGTTTCTGTCTGGGCTCCCTGTTCTATTCATTCATTTGTTCTTTCACTATTACTACACCGTCTTGATTATTATAGCTTGTCTTGGAATCAGATTACTGTAGTATGTGTTAGTCCTCTTAACATTACTGTCTTGTGATATTGTCTTGGCTGTGCAGGCTTTCTTCTCTCCATACAAGCTTTACAATCACTTTGTCAGTAGCCATAAAATAACTTTCTGGAGGGCCTCCCTAGTGGCACAGGGATTCAAGTCTCAGTGCTATCAAGCTAGCAGCAGACCTCTCCTGTCTCGCTGCGCACTGCCCCTTAGCAGTGTATTCACCAGGTCCACCCTTTCTGCTTCCCACAATGTCGCTGGTAAATCCTCTCACCTCTGGTTTACACCCCAGTTCTTGTATATATCAATAAATAAAAAATTTTAAAATCTTGAAAAAAAATTTCCAGAAAAAGGAAGGGATGAGAAACAGCAGCGACTCTTTAAGTCCTATGAAAGTCACGTGGAGAGGGACTTTTGACAATAGGGAAAAGCACCATGGCTGCCTCTCGCTTTGTCTGTGCAGTGGGGACCAGTGGCAGCGATCAGGGCTGTCCTCCAGCATTTGGAGGACAGGCTTTTCTTTGCCCTCCCTGAGTCGGGTGAACGGTGTGTGCAGGCTGTGTATGTGAACACGCACATAGCTGGAGGGTGGGATGTTGCTGTGCAGAGTACAACTGATGGAAGTTAGCCAGTTTTTCATCTAAATCTTCCCCTGCAAGTTTTAAACCTTTTGTAGTTTGCTGAGTTCCAAAACAGTTACATTGACTTCAGCCAGTGCGGTTGTCTGTGAGAGAAAATAGATTTCTGGAACTTTCTTCTTTTGTAAACTTCCCCTCAACTGGATGAGTTTGGAGACGTGTAGATTTGTGAAAGTGTCACCACAGTTAAGGGAGTGACTTTTGTCACTCCCCAGATTTCCTCCTGCTATTTGTGAGGACGCCTTCCACCCTCAATCCCTATTCTTCTGCTCTCCCCAGGTTACCATTATTGAATCATTTTTTGTTTGGCTGCTTTTATTCAGCATGGTTATTCTGACATTTCATCCCTTTTTTGGGCTCAATCATATGGTCACTTTTTTTTTTTTAAAGATTTATTTATTTATTTGTGCATACAGAACTGGGGTACAGGCCAGAGGCTCAGGGGCGGTGAGAGGCTTCACCAGAGACAGAGTGGGGTGCAGAACAGGCAGATCTACGAAGTACACTGCTGAGGGAAGCAGCGGGTGGGCCAGGAGAGGTCTGGCTCGCCATGTGGGAATTTAACTCATGCGGAAGTGGCTTCAGATTCTTAGTGCTGTGCTTTAACCCACTGCGCCGCCAGGGAGGGCCCATATGGTCACTTTCATTGCTGAGTATATTTTATTATGTGACTATAACAATTTATAAATTCAGTGACCTGTTGATGGGCATTTGAGTTATTTTCAGTGTCAGGCTATTATAAATAAAGCTGATAAGAATAAAGGAAAGAGCTTGCTAGGGTTTTGTTTTGGATTGCGTTGAATTTACAGATAAAGTTGGGAAGAACAGACAGATCTTCTTCATGAACACTCGTGAGCTTGAAGTAAAATCACGCCGCTGAATTCTTTTCGATATTACTCACCAGGTTTTGTCCTTCTCCTCATGTGGACCTTGTACATATATTGTTAACTTTATGATGCAATATTTCATTTTTGTCAATGCATTTATTGAGGTGCGAATGAATTTTAGTTGCAGGTTCCATGTACTCATTGCTGGCATATTGGAAAGCGATTGACCTTCATGTATTAGTAACCTTTCACCCTACTACCTTGCTGTAATTGCTTCCTGGTTCCATGAGGGTTGTTTTTTGTTTTTGTTTTTAAAGATTTATTTATGTATATAAGAGCTGAGGTATAGGCCAGAGGTGCAGGGCAGGGTGTGAGAGGATTCATCAGGGAAGCAGAACAGGTGGATCTACTGAAATACACTCCTGAGGGGAGCAGCAGGTGAGACAGGAGAGGTCTGCTGTGCCATGTGGGTCAGCTCCCCTAAGGCTTACATGCACATATATTTGGTCTGGAGTGGGGGTGGGTCCATAAACCTATTTGTGGAGTTTGTTCAAGAAATCCTTTCTCCCTAACACCACCAGGAAGGTCCTCCTCCATGAGGTTTTTTTTTTTTTTTTTTTCTGGGTTCTGGGATTTTCTACATAGACAGTCAAGTCATCTGTAAACAATTTTATTTCTTCTCAGTCTGTATATCTTTCATTTCCTTTTTGTGCGCATAA